GACCCAGTACTCGTTGGCCAGGATCACCCACCTAGGAAAGTTGTGTCCAATGACCCTTTGCTGGTGGGGCCTGAGTGGGGGACACAGTCCTGCCTGGGTGTCAGAGGGGGGACACAGCCTGGTACTGGGGGTCTGAGGGGTGTTAAAGAACAATATTATTCTGATGATTTTTAAAACGGTAGATAAGACTGTGTTCAAGACTATTGCAAAGGGGGTATTGCGATAGTGGAGAGAGATTGGGTTCAATTCCAAATACCTGGACAAGTGGGGAATTATAGCCAAGGAGCGGGGTGAGGGGGTCGGCGGATGGAACATTAGGAGGAGACATCAACGTAGGGGGATTCTTGCTAAACTGACTTAACAGGACTCTTGCTGAAGACAGGCCAGGTTGATCAGATATCAGGTGTGGGAGGATTGTCTATAAATTGACTTACCAGGATTCTTGCTAAAACTGGACTCCACAAGGATGGACATGGAAGCCCAAGGTGAAGACCTAGACAAGAGGGCACAGAAGTACCTGACCTACGTTTGGTCAAGGAGAGTGTCACTCTTAACATTTATTTAAGGAGAAAAAAAATGCTTACAAATATTCAAAACAAAATTTTGATTAAAAATAAAAAAAGGAAAAACCAGAGAAGACATTACCAATTCAGCAGATTAGAAATAGATCAATGTAAGAGTATATATTTAGATTTATATATATTAATTAGTGGAGAAAGGATAGTACTGTGGCCATTGATTATCAATTGAGAAAAATATGAAATTAGGTTACCACTGCATGCCTTACACAAAAATAAATACCAAATGGACTCAAATATTAACAATATAAAAGTATTTTCAAAAGTGTAAATGAAAATATCAGAGAATATGTTAATAATGTAAGGGTAGGAAAATTCCTAAACAAGTCACAAAGCTCTGAACCACGGGAGAAAAATTAGCAGAATTGACCACATAAAAATGTTAACCTTTTTATGAGGAAAGAAATCATATGTAAAGTTAAATTACAGGTGAAAGACTGTGAGGATTTTTTTTCAGTATTTATTGGAGACATGCTTGATATACATTGATTTTTTTAAAGTTTCTATGAACCACTAAGAACAAAGCAAACAACCCAATTAATAGTAGGCAAAGAACATCTACGAATAATTTACAAGAACAAAGATTCAAACGGAAAAATAAGATATAAAAACTGTTTAACTACTTATCTCTGAAACGTGAATTTTTTTTTTTTTCTGAAAACAATAGTGAAGTATCTATTTTCACTCTGATGGCTGAAATAAATTTAACAAAAAAAAAATTTAACTTTACTCCCACCTAGTGCTGATGAAAATATAGGAAAACAGACATTCTCAGACCCTGCAGTTGTAAATTATTATCATCGTTTTGGGGAACAATTTGGCAGAATCTGAAATGTTTAAAACATGCATTGCCTTTAACCTAATTATTACATAGTACAAATGTATGTTTCATAAACACAGTCTGTTTTATCTCAGCCAATGTCTCTCTAATGTGAGTTTCAGGGCATCTGTGTGTGACCAGGGGCCTTGGGTCCAACTAGACCAGCCATTACCCCCAAGTCACTTCCCCTGCAAGATCCCAACCCTCTGAGCCCAGCCGGGCCTGGGGACAGTCCCGCACAAGGGCCAGAGAGTCCCGATGGAGCCCACCCCACCTGCTCCTGACTTGGGCCACATCACTCCTAACAGCTCGGAGCTGAGTTTACATCATCTCTCGCCAAGGCCTCACAAGGCAGCCACAGCCCTCTGTCCTTCCGCTTGCTCCTGGCTGGATGTATACCGGCAGGGGCATTTCTAGAGAGACATGGTCCCAGCTCCCCTGCTCACTAGACGGTGACTTTGAGCAATAGGTTAACCTCTCTACACCTCAGTTTTCCCGTCTTTATAATGGGAGGCCCGGTGGCCCCCACCTCATAGGATAGGTCTAAGGGGGAGCACACAGGGCTGTCTCTCAGCTGCCTCTGCTGACTATTGCAAAATGCTTCCTGGCTCTGGAAGTTCTCTGCAGCCCGAAGTCCAAGCAGGTTGGATGACGTGACTCTCAGTGGCCTCTGCTAGTGGTAAACCCCACACTCCCTGTATTCAAATGCTGCAGAGCCCAGCTCTCCACCTCTGAATCATAGAGCCGACCTGTGCCTGCTGTGAGCACCCCTCGGATCCCCTCCCAAGCATTCCCCCCAGAGCTACGTGCCTTCCATCCATCATTTGTTCTGTCCTTAAACTTGATATCAGTTCAGTCCGCCGATGAGTCGTCTTCTATGTCTGGCTTTTTTTTTTTGTTTTCTTTTGGAGGTTGGCTGGTACAGGGATCCGAACCCTTGACCTTGGTGCTGTCAACACCACGCTCTAAACAACGGAGCTAAGTGGCTAGCCCGCTTGTTTGTTTAGTATTACGTCTGTGACATCCACTCAGGGTTTGCCTCTA